AGGGAAGTGTACAGTGGTGTCCCCCAGGGATCGGTATTAGGACCACTGCTCTTCTTAATATACATAAATGACCTGGACTTGGGTATAGCAAGTACCATTTCCAAGTTTGCGAACGGCACAAAGTTAGGGAGGGGCTAAACAGTGAGAAGGATAGGAGCCGACTGCAGGAAGACATAGACAGATGGTAAAATGGGCGACACATGGCAGATGAGTTTCAATGTGGGGAAATGCGAAATAATGCATTTTGGTAAAAAGAATGAGGGGACGCAATATAGGCGGTAATACAATCTTAAGGGGGGGTGAAGGAACAGAGAGACCTGGGGGGGCAGGTAACTGAATCCTTGGAGGTGGCAGGACAGGGAGATAAGGCTGTAAAAGGCATATGGGATACTCGGCTTTATAAATAGGGGCATAGAGTACAAGAGTCAGGAGGTTATGATTAACCCATATAAACACTGGTTAGGCCTCAGTTAGAATACGGCCCCAGTTCTGGGCCCCACACTGTAGGAAGGACGTTAAGGCATTGGAAAGGGTACAGAGGAGATTTACGAGGATGGGACCAGGAATGAGGGACCGTGATGATGAGGAAAGGCGAGAGAGGCCGGGATTATTCTCATTGGAGCAGAGAAGGTTACGAGGACCTAATAGAGGTCTTCAAAATCATGAGGGGATTTGATGGGTTAGAAAGGGAATAACTGTTCCCACTGGTGGGAGTGTCGGTGACTCGAGGTCACAGATTTAAAATAGTCTCTAAAAGAAGCCGAGGGGAGGTGAGTAGAAATTTCTTCACGCAGCGAGTTGTTCGAATCTGGAACGCATCGCCTGAAAGGGCGGTTCAGGCCGATTTGATAACTACTTTTAAAAACGCGGTGGACGGGTATTTGAGGAGGACGGGTTTGCAGGTTATGGGGAAAGGTCTGGGGAGTGGGATTGACATTACATTGCTCTATTCACAGAGCCGCACAGACTCAATGGGCCGAATGGCCTCTTTTTGTGCTGTACGCTTCTGTGAAGCCGATTCAATAACAATTTTTAAGAAAGAAGTAGATAATTATTTGAAGAGGATAAGTTTGCAGGGCTATGGGGAGAGCGCGGGGAAGTGGGATTGATTTGGATTTGGCTTTTTTCAAAGAGCTGGCACAGACACGATGGGCCGAATGGCCTCCTTCTGTGCTGTATAATTCTATATGTTTCAAATGTATAGAAACTTCGAAAATATAATTTGAGATATTATTTAACACATTAATTGCAGAATCCTACTGTCCGTCCTAAACTGCGTTAAGGTTACAAATATAAACCCAGTTTTATTTCCATAATTAATGTAAAATCAGTACTATTCTCCTCCATCTCTCTCACCGCATTCGACCTCCAACCTATTTTAACATTTTTATGATTCTTAACTGTTTTACATCAGTTTTTTTACATCAGTTTTTTTATCCAACACATAATCCAACAATTACCATAAACCATTATTAATAAATCTATAAATAAAATAAATTAGCAAGGTTATACATAAATTGTATTACCACAAAAATAAAATATTACTTGAGTGGGTGTTGCCTTGTTTTATGGGCACACTTCTTTTCTTTCAAAATATCATCTATAAAATTACCAATACATGTATCCATATATAATTTGTATAAACATCACTTTGATTAAATACTGGAATACACAAAATGAATCAGAATAAATCAAGAAATATTAAGATAATTGACACTATAACATTTATAACAATTAAAAACTACTAAAATGTGAATGTATTTGTCATTATTGATTGGAAAATTATGGAATTTCTCTCCTACATCTATCAATGTTCATTCTACCCTGTCATTTCACGCTCGCATCACGTCTCAAATTATTTAGTCTTACCTGTAATTCTATGCAGACCCTCATATTCTTTAACTATTGCTCATTTTGTTTATCTTTTACCTTACTATTATTCAGTACATATGGAACGTGGGTAGGATCTGGCTTATACTCCGCGTCCAGAGCAAAGTCAGATCTACTATGGTCCAGTACTTTAAACTAATCCGAAACTTATGGAACATGGATGGGATCTGGCTAGACTTTGCGTCCAGAGCAAAGTCAGACCCATCATGGTCCTCTTTTTTAAACACATAAATTACATGAACATTTAAAGACAGCCTTCACTTTGTTTCCTTGCTTTTTTGATTGCTACTAGCTTACGCTAAATCCTATACTAACATCTTTTTCACAACTTAAAACGTGTTCAAGTATTCTCAACGTATTCTCATATATTGTGTTTTTTTACAAAGGAACCATCTTGCAAAAGACAATAGGTGGAAGGTCACCTAACAAACTGTATATATGGAGATCGATTTGAAGAAAATCAGAAGAATTAATCAAAGGAACGGGATTGAATTGGATGTGCCATTAACAGAATTGGACGTGCCATGATACATGGATACTTTCAAATGATCGAATTGAACATACAATAATACCTGGATACTTTTGGGTGATCGAATTTAGAAACATACAACAATACTTGGATACCTTTGGGTGTATATATATTTGGATTAAGAAGGACATATTAAAATGGACCTTAAATTGGACATTACTACTCTGTCTCTTCCGCAGCATTTTGTTAGGTCAACTTAAATCGTTGTGAACTATGCGTTGACACCTAAGCATTATTGAAATGTATTCTTTTAATTCCTTATAACTATTACTAATCTGAATTAATAAACATCTATATTTTTGTTCAACATTTGTGCCAACCTTGACTTCACCGCGGGGTCACAAATTTGAATTAACCCTTACAGATGGAGTTCCAAAGGGTGGAGACAGAGAGGCTGAAGGCCCGACCACCAATGGTGGGGTGTGCCGGGAGGTGGGCATGGAGTTCCTGCTCAGCGAAGGGAGAGAATAGATTGATATAGGGTTAATAGATCACAGAGGTAGGAAAGGGAAAGGCTGTGGAGGGACTTGAAGGATAGGATGAGGATTTTGAACTCTATCCACTGTGGGATTGGGAGTCAGCGGAGCCTGGCGAGGGTGGGGTTGATGGGATCATTGAGCTTGGTGTGGGAGAGGACACAAGCTGCAGAGTTCTGGATGAGCTGCAGCTTATGGAGAGAAAAGTTGGGAAGGTCGACAATCATGGAGTTGGCGTAATCGAGCCTCGATGTGATGAATGGTGAATGAGGGTCTCGGCAGCCTGAGGGGTGAGGCAGTGGCAGAGTCGGGCGATATTGCGGAGGTGGGGAAAGGCAGAGTGAGTGGGCCATGGCACGAATGTAGGGTAGAAAGGACAGTTGAGAGTCAAACAACACTCAAGATTCAAGACTGAGGTGGATAGATATTTGTTATATTTCAAGAACCTCCTCTTCGACCATGCTTTTGATCACCCTGCTTCCCCCCCTGCCCTCTACCCTCCCCAATCCCAATCCACAGCTCGAGTCCAAAACTCTGACTGTCTAGTACCTTGGGACGTTCCAATGTGAGAAGTGCTATACAAATGTGAGTTCCTTCCTTCCTTATAATAACAATCCTGGCATTTGATAGAGCGCTTTTCAAGTCTTCGAGTCGTCTCAAAGGGCTTCACAGATTCACTAGTGTAAAGTGAATTGACTGAATATTTTGTGGGCAAAACTACAGTGGACATATTACAGTGCATGTCTCCAAGCAAGTGTACTGGAGCTATAGATAAGAGCCCAATTATTGGTATATATAAGAGCTCAGTGGAAATATTACCAGTAGAGATATTTTTTCAATATTTATAGTCAATAGTGAGAAATTATTTCCATTGCTTGGGTCAGTGAGTCAGTGACGAAAGGGAATCAACTTAAGATAGTTAGTAAACAATACCGTACAAACTTATATTACATTTATTCATATCAGGAGGATATTCCAATGTGCTAAACAAGCAAATGAGGAGGCTAGGCGATTTATTTTTCACCCAAAGAGTACAGTAGTTAGGATAAGGAATGCTCTGCTGGAAGTGGAGGTTGAAGCAGAATCTATATTGGCTTTCAAAAGGAAACTAGATAAATACCTTTAAAATTAGTCAGCTACAAGGATATGGGAAAAGGCAGGAAAATGAAAGGATTTTACAGCCATGATGAACTAAATGTGCTGTCCAGCGTGGAGGGGGCTATATAAATCCAAGTTGTTGTTGTAGTAAATGGCCTCCTCTATGCTATAAATTTCTGTAATTCTATGTTTCAAATGCAATGATTACTATTTTTACAATCTTCCATTATAGCAAGCTAATGTACAATATTGTACAAAATAATCAACAATAACAAGAAGATTATATTTGTATAGAGCTCTTCACGTCGGGAGGACATCCCAAGGCACAGGACAATGTACAGAATTTCATACAATAAACCAGACTATGCATTTATTTTGTCTTAAACACACAGGCTATCTTGTTTACAAAATACTTATTTTATTTCATGCACATATGTTGAAATCCAAAATAAAAGAAAATTCCAGAGTGATGTCACCTGACACACTCTTTAAATGCTCACCAGTACAATTTACATGACTTTACAGTTCTCCAATAGTTAGCCAGTACTGAGGCATAGACCAATAAAAGTGATTGGTTTCTACGTGTCTGGCTGCCCCCCACATGCAATGATATTCCACTCCTGGGACCATAAGTGATCAAGTCTGCATACTATTTGACATTTGATGAACAGCCTGTGTAATACAAACTACATTATCTCATTATAACATGGTTATCTGGGTCTAATGTCTCAGCAGCTGTGTTATAAACAAAGCACAAAAGAATGCCCAATATCCGGGAATAGGTCACGCTTATAATTAGCAGGTTCAACTAATATCTTGGGATATAATATATAGTTTGGGAAACGAATGTCATGCAACTGCCAGGATGATGGAAGGTGATGTGGATGGACCTTGGTCTTCTCTTCCGAGTAAATTCTTAGGTTCGTATGTTCAAACAGTAGTTCCATATTTATAACTTGAGATGCACTGAAGGGCATTGGGATCCCTGGTTTCCCTCTGTTTCTTACCTGTTCCAGTACAGCAAAATTCTCAACCAGCTTATCCAGGTTTGCCGCATGTGCCACCTTCCTCATTTTTCTTGTTTTGCTTCTAGATTTTACAAACTCTGGAAATTATTAATATGCTTTCAACTTATAAACATATCTCCACCGTAGGAAAGCCGTCTTTCAACTTAACTAAACTCAAATAAATTCTCCCTACACCCGAATTACACCGCGGGAAAATAATCTTTCCAGCTCAGGTGAATACTCCCTAAAAGCTCAACAACACCTCCGGTAAATACTCCCCAGACTTGAACACCTCCGGTAAATACTCCCCAGACTGTAAACCTCTGGTGAGTACCTTCGCAGTTTAACATTCAGTAAATATTCTCCACAGTTCCTCTCACGACGCCGCTGGCGGACGCCCCGCGCTCACTGCGCATGCTCCACCAGGCGCCGGCTTCCCGCCTAAAGCCACTGCAGCTCGCGCAGTGGCGGAGCGTACCACAGCCCGGGACTGGTGGGGGAGGCAGACACATCGAGGAATCCATATTGCGCCAAGTAAAAACGACACAGAATATTCCTTCACGCAGATATATTTTTAAAATGTGGTTCGTGTTCTGGAGAATCATTGCTGGGACAGAAGGATTCGTTATCCCGCCCTCCCCGTCACTCGGTAGGAGAGCGGCTGCCGATGAGATGATGGTGGCGGCCGGATTCAAAGGGTCACGTGGTGTCTGTGCTGCACGTGCGGTGGCGTTGGCCGTTAGCGCTGTGGCTGTGAGACCCCACATTGGTATAATGGCGCCCGTCACTACCAAACGTCAAAGAGCTGCCCAGGGATTCATGTCACCGACCATCCTCCTTCATGGCTCTCAGCCACAGCGGAGAGGCTGCCTTCGGCCCACGCCAAGTCCAGCAACAAGCAATGAGGTGGGTTCATTAAACATGTGTTGAAATAACTTTATAATACAACAATGATCGTTGTATTTGACACAGGGCCTTATCACGTGGTCGAGACGTCTCAAAGCGCTTCACAGGATATACTGTAAAGTGTAGTGACTGTGTTTTGTGAGTGAATATTAACAATAACTTGAACTCATCCTGTTTAGTCGACTGGTGGATCGCTTTTCTGGGGATAATAATCCCTTCAAAAAATAATAATAATAATAATGTGGTCACACAAACCATGATTGTTTGTGGGACACAATTGGACGTCTCAAAACACTTCACAGAATATACTGTTACAGCATATTCAGTCAACTCAATTTACAGTATATTCTGTCAAGGGCTTTGAGACGTCTCAAAGACATGATTATACATTAGAATACATAGAATACATTAGAATATACAGCACAGAAACAGGCCATTCGGCCCAACTGGTCTATGCCGCTGTTTATGTTCCACATGAGCCTCCTCCTGTCCTTCCTCAACTAAGCCTATCAGCAGAACCTTCTATCCCATTCTCCCTCATGTACTTCTCGAGCTTTCCCTTAAATACATTTATGCTATTTGCCTCAACAACTCCTTGTGGCAGCATGTTCCACATTCCCACTACTCTGTGTGTGAAGAAATTTCTTCTAACTTCCCTATTTGATCTATTTGTGACTATTTTATATTGATGGCCCCTGGTTTTGGTCTCCCCCACAAGTGGAAACATCTTCCCTTATGTCTACCCTATCAAAACCTTTCATAATTTTAAAGACCTCTATCAGGTCAAATGAAAGTAGTATTATTTTTATCTGTGGCCAACACGGGAAGCTGTCTCAGGGAGGGAGACAATGATCGTTGTATTTGACACAGGGCCTTATCACGTGGTCGAGACGTCTCAAAGCGCTTCACAGGATATACTGTAAAGTGTAGTGACTGTGTTTTGTGAGTGAATATTAACAATAACTTGAACTCATCCTGTTTAGTCGACTGGTGGATCGCTTTTCTGGGGATAATAATCCCTTCAAAAATAATAATAATAATAATGTGGTCACACAAACCATGATTGTTTGTGGGACACAATTGGACGTCTCAAAACACTTCACAGAATATACTGTTACAGCATATTCAGTCAACTCAATTTACAGTATATTCTGTCAAGGGCTTTGAGACGTCTCAAAGACATGATTATACATTAGAATACATAGAATACATTAGAATATACAGCACAGAAACAGGCCATTCGGCCCAACTGGTCTATGCCGCTGTTTATGTTCCACATGAGCCTCCTCCTGTCCTTCCTCAACTAAGCCTATCAGCAGAACCTTCTATCCCATTCTCCCTCATGTACTTCTCGAGCTTTCCCTTAAATACATTTATGCTATTTGCCTCAACAACTCCTTGTGGCAGCATGTTCCACATTCCCACTACTCTGTGTGTGAAGAAATTTCTTCTAACTTCCCTATTTGATCTATTTGTGACTATTTTATATTGATGGCCCCTGGTTTTGGTCTCCCCCACAAGTGGAAACATCTTCCCTTATGTCTACCCTATCAAAACCTTTCATAATTTTAAAGACCTCTATCAGGTCAAATGAAAGTAGTATTATTTTTATCTGTGGCCAACACGGGAAGCTGTCTCAGGGAGGGAGGGCTCTTGCCTACATTCACCTGTCGCTGAGCACCCTGGACGCTCAGGGAGCTTCACACAGGCATTTCTATTTGCCAAGGCTGCTTACATGAGGACTTGGATTAGCAACTAGTGCTGAGGAGGTAACCAAGGGCTGAACTGGCTTCAAGGTGAAATCTTAGCACTGGAATGTTGGAATTGAACCCACCCTCTGTGATGGTCTCTCGTACAGTTTCTGAGACTGGTAGGTCCGCAGAATTCCCAGGCACTGATAACCAAACAGGACTTGGAGGGACAGATTGTCTTCCCACTCAGTTCCTGTATATCCTGCAAGTCAAAGCCTAATCTAACATTCAGGGTGAAACTTGCCAGACAGTGCTTTCAGTGGCAAACCAGCAGTATCAAACACTTTGCTTGCTGACATGAAAGGCTGTATACAAATATAAATAGTATTATATTGTAAATTATGCTATATTAGCTCAGTGGTTAGAGCACTCGCCTCGCAAGCAAGAGACCTGGGTTCGATTCCCGCAATGTTGAGCAAATTTCCTTACCGCACACCCCACTGTTTACCTAGCAGTACGTAGCAACCCAGTTGTTAGTCGATTGGCGGATTGATTTCTGGGGGTAATAATAATAATAATAATAATCCTTGCATTTGATATAGCGCTTTTCACGTCGGGAGGACGTCCCAAAGCGCTTCACAGAATACACTGTAAAGTGAATTGACTGTATATTTGTGGGCGAACGCGGCAGCCAATTGCGCACAGCAATGTCCCACAAACAGTCGTAGATTGAAAATGCCCAATTTATTATTGTTTTTTTTTGTTTTTGGAGGGAATAATTAGTTGAAAAAAGAATCGGTCACTTCAATCGACAATTGTTTGTTGGACACTGCTGTGCGCAACTGGCTGCCATGTTTCGCCCACAAAGTAGACAGTCAATTCACTTTACAATATATTCTATGAAGCACTTTGAGACATCTCGAAGAGGTGTTAAGTCGCTATAGCAAATACAAGGATTATTTTTATTACACCCCAGCAGTACCCTAACACGCACACTTGGGGAGCTTTAGCAAGAGCTAAAGCTCACATGTATGCAGATGACACGCAACTTTACCTCCCTGCCTCTACCCTTGACTCCAGGACCACTGCTGTCCTGACTGAATGTCTGTCGGACATCAAGTCCTGGATGAGAGCTAAATTTCTTCAGTTGGATGTCAACAAGACCGAGGCTCACCTGATTGGCTCCCATCAGTGCCTCCTCACCTCAGGCGCTGACAGCACATCTACCTCATGACCCACTCTGTCTTCGCTCACCTCTGCAATATCGCGTGGCTCCACAACTGTCTCACACTGCAGGCCACCGAAACCCTCATGCATGCTTTCATTTCATTGAGGCTCGACTATGCAAACTCCTTGCTTGTCGACCTCCCTAGCTCCTCCCTCCATAGGCTGCAGATCATCCAGAACACTGCAGCCCGTGTCCTCTCCCGCACTAGGCTCTATGACACTATCACCCCCTTCCTCGTCTGACTCCACTGGTTTCCCATCGCACAGAGGATATAGTTCAAGATCCTGGTCCTCATCTTCAAAGCCCTCCATGGTCTTGCTCCCCCCTACCTCTGTGACCTCCTAACCCCCTACCATCCTGCTTGCTCCTTCCGCTCAGCAGGCTCCAGCATGCTTCACGTCCCCCGCCTCACTCGCCCCACTATTGGCGTGTGAGCATTCTGCCACTCTGCCCCACCCTCTGGAATTCTATCCCACAGTCCCTCTGCCTCGCCCCCTCCTTTGCCTCATTCAAGATCCATCTAAAGACCCTCCTTCGACTTTGCTTTCGATCACCCTGCTTCACCCTGCCCTCCACCCTCCCCGACCCCGATCCCTATCTCGGGTCCGAAATTCTGTCCTGCGCCTCGAGACATCCTTCCTATGTGAAAAGCACTATACAAATATTATTTTGTTGTTGTTGCTAAGGTGCACCCAATACTCTCTGGGATTAGATAAATAGACGCTTCTTCTGGTTAAAGAGACTCTGCATTTCATTCGAGACACAAGCTATACCCTGTATAGCTGGGATGCATAGAAATCTCAGTCTGGTTTGCACACTCATATGTATGGTGATGGGGTTCTTGCATATCTCAGACATCCGGCTAACTAAATATTTTTTTGGTCAGCCACGTGTCTGACGTGGAAAGCTATCACTGTGCTTAAGAGTCTCCAAACCAAACTGAGAATTCCTTGAAATCCCACCTACACATGGAAATTCCAGATATAGATTGTTGGAATGGAATGTGCACTCCCTCCCTGGAGAGACGTATCTTGCTTTTCCGGAGAGTATTAGGTGCAGGTTGGCAAGAGCCAAGGCTTGGGGACCCAAGAGTGTGTAAGGGTTAAGTTAAATTTGTGACCCTGCAGTGAAGTAAGGACTGACACCAATGTTGTACAATTAATCAATGTTTATTAATTCAAATTAATAATGGTTATAAGTAATTAAAAGAATACATTCAATTATGCTTATGTATCACGTATACTGCAGTTTACAACGATTTAAGTTGACCAAACCAAATGCTGCGGGAGAGATAGAAGAGCAATGTACAATTTAATGTCCCATTTGAATCCAAATATAAGTCCTCAAAAGGTATTTTTTGTATTGTTGTACGGTTTCCAGTTTGATATCACCCAAAAGTATCCTGGTATTATTGTACGTTTAGAGTTGTTTAAATCGTAGTTTTGATCTTCCTTCTTTAGAAGCTAGAATATGGTTCAAGACTCCAAGTCCCAATTTCTTCCTTCTGTTTCTCTTTCAAATCAATCTCTGTTTATATCATTGATTAGTTGACCTTTCACCTATTGTCTTTTGCAATATGGTTCCTTTGTAAAAACAAATGCAGCATAGCTCT